TGTACGAGACTTCAACCGCTTCAATTCAGTCAATTGGCTTTACTGTCACTGGAATTCCCTTTTGCTTTAGTGAACTTTTGCTGTTAAAATGACTGCCAGATGAGGGAAAGGATATATTCAGATGGTATGATGAATAAACGAACACGAGTGTTCAATTTCCAATTTTTTTCTTTGTGTTATAGCATTACCCCTTTCTGGAACTTCAAAGGGCCGCAAAATCGGCATGGGATTTTTTGGGGGTTAATTTTAGGTTCAGGGATTTTTTTGGGTTTTGCTGGAAGCCCTAGGGATTTTTTTGTGTCTTGACTTTTGGCTCCATTCGATCATCCCCGTCACTTGAAATCCCGAGTACCTCCCCCCTGGGTACGCAACAATGCCGATGCTCGCCGATGCTCATATTTCGAGCTTGGGCTGCCTGTGCGAGCCCAGTTCGAAATTCGGAAGCCGATCGAGCAAGAGATGAAAGCATCACTAGTGAACGATCTGTCAGATCTGTGGCAGGAATTGCGAATCGAGTGAATGGACATGGAACTGCAACATCTCTGCTTTGAATTCTGGAGGAATTAAAGCCGGGGGTAATTTTCCAGCGGAATTATTCGCCTCGAGCGACGGACACTCCGGGAATCACTGTTCTGCCTTGTCTTTCTCTTAGCAGTGGAACACCAAAATAGTGCTAACTCGCCGAAAACGCTTCAAAACGGCCTGAGACGGGGGCAAACAACAAAGAATACAACAAGGCAATAAGGTACGTCGATTTTATTTAAAAACATAACATTTTTTCTCTCTTTTAAGAAAAACCGTTTACATCCCATACAAGCCTTTGTAAGTAACCGTTTGTAACACAACACCGCTCACAGGCTAGCCTGTTCCGGGCTCTGAGATGGTGGTGGAAAGTCGTTCAGTAATAAGAAATGCGAAAAACGCGCGGGGGCTGGGGAGAGACAGGGCGGCGGAGCCTATTTTTTTAACGGCCTGTTCCGATATATCAGCTGCTGATATACCCTCTGATTGGTCAATTGTGACAATTAAAACATCATCACCTAGCAGCGTGGTCATCAGTTTGTCATCACCAAGATGGCCAACGCGAATTGCGCGTGTGATCTTCATGAATCCGCGTTGTCTTGTGCTTTAGACGAGTATCTGCGACTTGGCTCGCGGTAAAGATGTTTTCGGTATCATGCCCACCGGTTTCGGCAAAAGTTTAACTTTCAGCTATTCCCACGCTTGGCTAAAGCTGCTCTTACCCTAGAAAACTCTACGATAATAATCGTTTCGCCGCTGATATCTATAATGCGAGACCTAGTGGAACAGCTGAGGAGGGAGAGGAGGACGAGAAGAAAGCGAGAGAAGGAAAGGCGAAATTTTTTTCGGTAATCTGGAGTCCTGGTTGATCACAGAGTGGCAATAACAAAACAGTCCAAAGACTGTTAAGCTTATTCCGCTATTACCAAGGGAGAAACTACTCGCTCCAGTCACACTATTTTCAGAGAAACACTATCAAGCTGGCGTTTACTAAGTCACAATGTAATTCTCCTTAGTTGATGTAGTTTAAGTTTAAGCTGCACTTCATTCTTATAATTCTGGATCTGTAAATCACTATCCGTGATAATTTAACATTCTGCAAAGAAAACTAACGAGCTGGGCCCAGCGTGATACAACATTGCAGAAAAATATTACATTAATTCACGGACTAAAGAAAATCACTTAGTTAATCAGATCCAGAAGGCACTTTGGAGAAAATCAAAACCCTTATTGAGCCGCAATAAAAAAGCTTTACGCTTCAAATTAGAGGTCAAAGAAAATGCTCTCTCATCAGAGGGCAAATCCTGCCGACCAGAAACAAACGCCACAGTAAATCGATATGTGTGCCATGACCTCTCACTGTGAAACAAGCGGCTAAAGTCACATTTGTTCAGTGACAATGTAGAACCTTCCAGAGCATAACCTACCCAACAGAGGAAAAAACTTACCGCCCCCTTTTATTGCTATAAATTAGAGCCAAAAAAAACGGATGCTCTCACAGGATAACGAATTCGAAGACATAAATTTACACACATCGCACAAAGAGTTCGCGTCGCGTGCAATGCTCACGCGAGAAACTTGAGAATGATTGTAGCTAAGTGAAGTGTTAACAGTTTTGACTGCCGAATCCAGACGTGACAAAAATGGGCGGAAGAGGGTCGTTAAAGAAATGCTAATAGGCTCTCTCTTCCATTTTTCCCGCCGCCATCGCCCCCTTTCTCAAGTCGTGCCCGTCTTATTTTCGCTTTGCTCGTTTTAACACGTTCGCACTATACTATCTGAGAGCCTGGCACAGGCTACTCGCAGGCAAGAGCACGTCCACGTTCATGTAACAAGAAGACGCCCGAAGGCGCTTACGCGGGATGTGTGGGTTTCAGAAAGAATTACTTGTATCTTGGATGGAAATGGAAGTTGAGTAGTGTATGCAACAGATGTGCGCAGGAGAGACGGAGATGTTCTGTTAAGGACTAATACACTAGAAGATGAGTTACACACAAAGGTTCCTTTGCTACTCAAACCAAAACTTACATCAATATTACCACCATATATGTTAGGAGTATGGGGTAGTTCACTAAAATTTGCATTCCTTTACTAATGTCCTCAAAAAATGCACTTCCACATTTAACAATAGCGTGTAATGTATCATACTTCCAATAACTACAGGGCTGCAAGGAAGTGCTCTAGGGAAAATTTCAGAGAGCCCTTTAGGCTCCCCAAGCATTTTTAGCTGGGGTACCCGGGCCTCTAAGTTGGTCGCCCAAATTAATAAATCAATGAGCTGTTAGTTAATTATTAAACATTAAACAAATTATTTTCTTAACAAGTCAAGCAGAATTTTGTGAACATTTTTTTCATGAAAAATCACATCCCTTTGACCTCCTGAGCGTGCGAAAAAAAAAAAAAAACCCGCATGTTGTCATATGAAAGTAAGTTTTCGCGCCATATGAGAAACATGGACAACGCCGCCGAACATTTCATGTTTTTTAAATAGAAAAATAAATTTGGGGTCAAAAAAAGATAAGGGCACTATTCTTTTTACTAATCATTGTGATTTAGGTCAGGAGCTCCTGTTTAGGTTGAAAAGAAAATTTGCTTGTTAAGATTGACCGAGATCGCGTGGAGCTTTCCAGGAAAACTGTTATGATTTCAACGAAACCGCGGCGCCCCATACAAGATAAGTCTAAACCAACGCGTGACGCTATGGGGGGTTACTTGCGTTAATTTTTGCTGGGTATGTGCCGCTGGCCTCTCAGAACCCCTACCCCATTATAGTCTTTTCTGTGGCCAATATTGTAGACCCCATATTAGTCACTCTTGGGGAAATATGTAATTTTTGCGATCCCAAGTTAGTCACTTTCTATTTATGTATCTACCTTATCAATCCTTTAAATAGGTCATCAAGAAATGAATTGACCTATTTTTTTAATAAATTGAATGAAGAACACTTTACTTTTCACCCGGAGTACAAATATCCTGATAGGTTTGCTAACCGTAAATATGAACAGCTCTCTTACCCCAAAAATCCGAAAATGTGCGACCCCATTCTAGTAACTCTTTTGAAAATGCAACCCCATTAATGTTCAATCTAGTCGTGAAAATGCGACCCCATCCAGCGGCACATCCCTATTAGCCTCTTTATAAGGAAGTGGCCCCCCCCACCGGGGGCCGCCCCAAAACTATTATCTCTTTTGAATAGATCATCTTGTTGTAAAGTCGTCTTTTAAGCGCAAAACAGAAGTATTTTCTTTCTATATTATCGGTGAAATGTTCAGGACAAATGTAGATTCGGTTAGCTTTTGCGTATTTATTTTTAGTACGTGATACGTAATGCCTTGTCACGACACGAAAGACAATGCGGGATTTTATAGATTTATACCCCCTTTACACCCGATTCTAGAACAATCACAATTATAATAGTCGTCTCTTTTCTTTTTTATGCATCGTATTTTATTGGAATAACAATCTTAGTTATGTTTTATCCTCGCAGACACAGCAGTCAAAAAAGGCAAAAATATTTAAAGAACATAGAAGACCGACTCCCTTGTTTATTCAGCGATTTTTCAAAATACAAAACTATTGTTTTGCGTCGCCGACCGTACTTCACGCCTGTCAGAGCAAAAGTAACAACTTGTTTTGAAAAACTAACTAATGAACAATCCTAATTTGAAGAAAAAATTTCAATGTTACTATGAAAAGCTGTTGCTATCGAAAACTGTGCAGCTTGTCACGTTCATAGTCAAGGATTATGTTACATGTGAACTCACGTGAAACGACCTTTGAACATCAACGCGTGCCCGCTGCCCGATTAACAACATTTTCCTAAAGCTTCTTGATAGACATGCTACTTATTGCTACTTACAGAGTCGACCTCAAGAGTTTCTTAGCGAGAGGAGCGTTCTTTTTAGGCCGCGAAGCCACCGAGAGAGCTACGATTTCGCAAGTAATAAATTCTAGACATTCTTAGCTTTTTGACTGTAACTCAACAGAAACAAGAAACCAACACAAGCAAGTCGCCCGGCTGGGCCACCTTTTCAGTCGCCCGAGGCCAAGTTTTGCGCCGTATTAAGAGCACGGCCTTGAGTCTTCGTCCTCCTCTACACAGTGAGCTTACTTTTCCCTCCTTTGCTGACGCAGTATGTTTTATCGGCTTGTGCAATCCAGCCTGACTTGCACGTGCTTCGACGTTGGGGCCAATAAAAATCCACACAATTTCTCGGGACGGGCACGGGATACGGGAAAGTTAAAAAAACAAGGCAATTTTTGACTCCCAAGACGACGAAAGGAATGCGCTACCGAATTTTAGACGCTGGCTGACTACGTCATCCCACGTAATGAGCTTGGGCCACCTGTGTTCTACCTTGAGGGAAGAGTCGAGGGGAGAAAGGGGCTTGCGCCGTGGAATGCACCAATCAGCAATCGTTTGGCTGCCCAATCGTTTTGTTTGCTGTTTGCAGACGTTGTTAAGTTTTCCATTTGTGTAGGAGTCACTGATGTGTGACACAATATTACACCACCGAACGCAACTTCGTCCACAAATCTTCTGGTTTTTTCTAAACGATCAACTTATTTAACAGTCCGGATGTAATCCTTGTTGAAGCATAAAAAGCCATGACCAAAAACAGTGGAAACAAGAAACAGACGAAAAGCCAACGTCGAGAAGAGCTTGAAAGGAAAAGAGACGATCGAGTGAGGCGAAATGCCATAAAGAAAGAGCGGAAAGCGAAGGAGTATTTGGAAGACGATGACACTTTTTTTAGTTTTTCAAACCAGTTGGAGGCTTTGAGTTTGAAAATCAAGGATATTCCTGGAGATGGGTGAGTTATAAAATATGCCCGTTACGAATTTCGCGCGAGTTTGTCGACCTAATACATTTTATAAAGAGGTTTTGCTTCCACGATTGATTTTGCTTGATCATGTCACAATTGATAAGTAACTGCATATACCCTGCCACTTTAAAGCTGTATCCCCTAAAGAGCTGGATACTTGGAAACGCAGTTATCCCTTTTATGCGCTTTTCTACCTTCAGTGGCTTTAACGACAAATAGACATACTACCGTAAAGTTCCGAAAGTTAAACGAGCCTTGTCACTTTCGGATTTAGCAGCCTTTTCCTATCACTACTTTCGGAGGGTCGCTAAGCCCTTTTAGTAAAATCCAGCAAGTGGTCTATTATCAATGCTGCATTCTGATTGATTGAGCTACTACTAGGGTTTATGTTATAGGTGGTTTTCACGTTACGTCATCGCCGCCATGCTGGTTCACGGTAAACAAAAGATCGCTCATTAGATCGTTTTGTTTGTCCACCAGCATTTGTTCATTTCACCATTGTTATTTGTGTCTCCCGAGATTGCATGAAAACCACCTATAGCCCACTAGTAGCGAAAATAGGCTTTTGTACATTATGCTTTTGCTTCCCCACTAAAATGCTCCACCTTAATGCTATATTTTTCCCACTAAAATGCTCGGTCTCCCCAAAAAAGTCACTAAAATGCTCGGATAATGCTCATTATGCAAACGGTTTTTTAAATTAATTTCAAAGTTTACACTTACAAAAACGTGCAAGTGTTGCAAGTAACAACAACAACTTGTACAAGTTCATAAATACAGCCAAAAAAACAGCTGTATTAGGTTTTTTGTGAATTTTGAGTTTTAATCTTCATTTTCTCTAAAAATGCAGGAGCTTGTGGGGCATGGGCTCCCGAAAAAAGTTAATTTCTATTTTATTTTCTCGGAAGAAAATTAATTTTCCCGGGAAAATGCCACTAAAATGCTCGAATAATGCTCAATGCTTTTGCCTCACTAAAATACTCGAGAAAATGCTACAGCCAGTTGCAGAAACGTTGAGACACTCTCACGAAAAAAACAACCTGTCTTGCTTCAAATCGCTGCTAGTCACAGGTCTGTGAGATAAAATACTGAGCCCCCCTCCTCCCCCCATTCAAAGTTGTTCCTCCATGTTTTGAGCATGGTCTTGTATTGCCAGCAACTTTGAAAAGGGGTGGAGGGGGGATCACAAGCACAAGATCATGGACAGGCAATTTAAGCCAAAATACGGTACAGTGTCTCAAGTACTTTTGCAACTGGCTGTCTCATTTACGTTTTACTTCAAAAAGCGATTTCCACGTCTCAACTTCCCAAAGTGAAGACTATAGCAAGAGAAAAAAATAGAATGGCACTTTCTGTTGCTTTTCCCAGCTGACACATCAAAATGGCATAAAAAAGCGCTTACGAATGTAGTGACTTTAAAAATTTTGCCTCAATTTTGTTGTAACGCGTGTGCTATTAATTATATATCGTGACATGGCTGTGCCAGTGTTGTGATTAAACTCTGAGAAGTGTGAATGCATAATCACAGCATACTTTTCCTTTTCTTGGTATTTAGAGATATTATAATTGCAAATAAAGCTGCCAAACCTCCATTTTCACCCGTGTCTGTAATGCAATGACATTTGATATGCAGTGGCATTATGTAATCGGTATACCGCGTGACTTATTTTTCAACACCGCTGTAAAAGTAAGACCGTTCAGTTTTTTCCATCTACTACAGTGAAAATAAGATAGTTATTAACGTCCCTTAGAGCTAGAAAGCAGAAAAAGTTGGGTGCTATGTTAGTTTCTATTTTCTGACGGTCTACCATCAATCATGGTCTACCATTCTGCAACAGTAAGAAATATGATATATCATTATATTTATCTGATATGATGGTAGACCGTCGATGCACGCAAATTCCTGACGTTGCTATGCTGGAAAATTACTATTTTTGGGGACAGTGACTTCTTTTTTGCAAAGAAATACATTTTGTTACCAAGTATAGAATACAAGGCCACGTTATATGTGAGCTCTCGCGGCTATGTTAGTGAAATACGCGTGTGAATTTTCACTTTATCTGATCACTAGCCACACTCAGGCTTCAAAATCGAAACAAAGTTGTAAGACAACCAAAACGTAAACATAAATCCAAACTTGTGTTAAGTAAAATAAAGTCCACAACAGCTCCTTTTTAGTGTAACTTTTCTTTCCTGTAAATGGCAGGTGATAAAAGAGGAACCATTTGCACGTACTTATCAGAAACAACAACAAAAAGCTATCTCCTTGATCCAGCGGGGCATCTTAGGTCACTTTCCTTTCATAAATAAACGTCTTTTACCCGAGTTCGAAGAAAATATATTATTTCGCATCTTTTTAGTGTGTCAGGACAAAAAGCCCCTTTCGCTGCAGCTTACTCAAGATGGTGTGGCATCTTTTGCCATGCACTCCCTTTAAAAGCCCAATTTCGAGCAAATTACCACATAAACAAAAGTGGAAAAAACTGCCGTTTTTGTCTTGCCATTTGAAAACACGCAAACCTAGGGAAACGAAATGCTATTTTTTATAACCACCTCCTTAGGTGCAAAAAGTGCACTACGTTTCACCCTGTTTAATAATTGGGCACCACTGCTATAGAGGTATGAAGGACTCATACAACCAGTTGCAAAAATGTTGAGACACTCTCACAAAAAACACAACCTGTCTTGCTTCAAATCTCTGCTAGTCACAGGTATGTGAGGTAATTTGCTGAGCCCCCCTCCCCCCCCCCATTCAAAGTTGTTCCTACAAGTTTTGAGCGTGGTCTTGTACTGCTAGCAACTTTGAAAAGGGGTGGTGGGGGGCTCACAAGCACAAGATCATGGACAGTCCATTTAAGCCAAAATACGGTACAGTGTCTCAAGTACTTTTGCAACTGGTTGTAGCATAATGTACAAAAGCCTAAGCGAAAAACGTCGGCTTTGAAAACTGAAACAATGGCGGCTGAATCTCGTTTTGCTAGCTTAAGTTGTTTTGTCGCGATATTTTTGACCAACTAGATGGATTTTGCTAAAACAATGATATACACAACATGTACTATTCCTCTTGCCCTTCTTTGGCCTCATTGGTGCTTGAGGAATTATTATTAATTAGTTCCAGTGTCAACAAAAGGAACCATTGCGTATCACGAGTGTGGAAACTGAATTGAACAACACAGTAAACAAACTCATATTTAATTCAACGACTTTATTCACAGTTAGGTAGGTACAATCAGCCTGCGAATGGTGAGGAGTAAGGAAAGAAGGCTGTATTGGCAGTGAAAAATGAGGTCAAAACAGTAAATGAGTGTCATAAACAACGGTCAACCTGAAATATACATTGTGTACAGTCGCAATTGAACAATGTCTTATATTCTATCCGGGTTCAATGACCAAAGGCCGTTGATATGTAATAGAAAATAATGAAAAAGTTTAGTTTACCACTGTAGTTAAAAGGCTATTGAAGGCTTTCAGATGACAAGCAACGTAACATGCTTGGGAACTTATAAAAATATAAAAATCATGCACTGGAATGAAACCTGAATAAACTTAATTTGCATGGATTTCTAGACTTTGCTAACACTTGTATCTTCCCGAAAACTTGTCCGACTTTGCTAACACTTGTATCTTACCGAAAACTTGTCCGGCACTAAGCTGAGATCAAGCTCTACTTTCATCTTCCGTAGTAAAACAATTCCCGGCTGGCAAGGCAAATCGAAAAGTCTCACAGTTAGTACATTTCTCGTATACTTAAATTGAGTGTGCTTGCGAATCGCCTGCGATTATAACGTAAATGTTATCACCTGAAAGAAATTCAATGCCTGTCAAAACTACTTGTACTCCTCCCACTTCTGGACTAGTGGTCTTATTTCCAGACAATGAAACGTGGATGATTTTTTTTAAAAATTGCTTTATCCAAACTCTGTCTCACTGTTTTTACAATATTCTCAAGATGAAAGACCATCTGAGGAATATTCTAGGGGGAATTAACCTCTTTTAATTAAGTAAGCTTACTATAGTATTTCTGGAGTGTTAGCTTAAATCTTCAGTGTTGAGGGGAAAGCAGTAAAGGAAGGCCAACTCAAAGTGTCAAAACCTATCATAATCGCTCAAAATTAACCACTTGTCAGGTGAAAGGATGACAATATACTGCAGGTATAAGGAAATACATTATTTATTTAGGATCCATGCACACATTTAGACGAAGCAAACAGTAACTTCAATAAGCTTACATTTTTTACTATTCTGAGTTTTGCCTCTATTTAACAACACAGTTGAAGGTTTCACATTTCGATACACAGTAGATAAAGGTTCGAGCTCATTTTAACCATCTTACCTGAGGGGAGACTTTGTCTGGGACCGAGAAGCCTTTGTTCTCACAACTTGCAAAGTAGTCACCTTGTGCAGTATTTTTTGCACAGTAAATATTTTAGAAGTGAGAAGCAATGACTAAATGAAAACCATACAGACAACATGTACTAGTGTTGTGAAATGAACTAACTCAGAATGATCTAATCGTGGAACAAAGTGACCGGATACCTCAACTCCTTCACTGACGGTAGTCTGTTCCAATGACAATCAATAGTTACCCGGGGAAAAATTTTTCCTCATTGATTTCTATCAACTGGTATTGGAAATAATTGATTTTCACTGATCATAAATGTTCTCGGTTCATTGATTGGGGGCAGTGCATTGTTCAGACAACAGCAGCATTCATTGGAAAGAGTCCACAAGGTCTTTCATGGAGACATAAATTATTCCTCTTTATGTCATATTTACAAGTATATTGTGAAGATCAATGGTCAGTGCACGATGTGTTGGTCTGTCGTTGAACATTATTGCCATTTCTCTATACAGATCAGCAATGAATTTAACTTCTTCTAATTTCCTAATTTAGATCACTACGATTCAGATTGGTGTTGTTCACTTCAGCATATTTCTGATGCATGAAAATGAAATCCATAAAACTCTGGGAGGGGAGTAGTCGACCAATATTTGGGTTTAGGTGAGCTGATGAGGGTTTGAAACCCTGACCCTGTTTAGGACAAAAAAATCCTAAAATGCAAACCCTTAATTTTCATTAGGACAAAGGACAAAATGCACACCGTCTTGTTTTAAAGCCAGGGATACAACTTTGAAGTGGCAGGGTATTCTCAGTTACTCCCCAAGCTCTAAGCGACCAGTCATAATTTAAGTTGGAGGAGGGGGGGCGGTGGAGGAGAAATTGGGGGGCCTTCAATTTTTCTTCAAGTTTCTTTTAGGTAGCATCCCTACTGAGCAGCATGATGCTTGAGTATTAAAGGACCTGATTTAGATTCAGTTTTTCACAAAGTCCTATATTGTGTAATGCTAAAAGAATTTAATCAGCATCTTGACAAAAAGATTTAATGCTCAAATAGCAGGTGCATCAACACAACATCCATTATTGTGTAACACTGAAACAATTTCATCGGCAGTTTAACAAATGATTACATGCATAAAGTCATGTTATGCAATCTCACTATCCGAATCATTTTTTGTAGATGAGGTTGATGTGGACTCACTGTCTGTGTCACTGTCAAGTTTTTTGCTATTAGAACATGTACTGCTCATATAAAAAGCAGCAAGCTTTGGCTGATTATCTTCTTTCTTCCTTGATCGGTCCTGTCGGCCTCTAACCTTTTGATGGCTTGTCTTATCTCAATTATAACACAATCACTGATATATCCTTGCACTATAAGCTGTTTGAGAGGCTCTAGGTGAAATCTCTTTTTCAGTTTAGTGTGAAGTGCATCTCTGTTGCTAGTGAGCACATTCGGAAGTGACAGTGAGTAAGAATGGTAAAGTAAAGAAAATGTTAATTGTTATTACCATTTGGGTATTATGTAAGAAAGGGGGCCCCTTAAATCTTTTAACATGATTGAAGGGGGGTACCTAAAAAACATGGGTGCTATTAGTAGGGGTCTGGAAATAATTTGGGATAGAAAACAATTTCTCCTCCACCACCACGCCCCCCTCCAACTTAAATTATGACTGGTCCCTAAATATGAGCATCGGCATTGTTGCATAACATTCAAAATCTAAGGATCAGTATGGTGACAAAACATATAAACATATCATTTCTGTAATTTTGAATATTATCGAAAGATTTCAATAAAAATGGTCTACTCCGTACTTAAAATGTGTGTCATCTTTCCTGTGAGGTCCAGTGATCAATTTATGGCCGTTTTATGTTTTTTTTTTAGAAAAAACCGAACAGAGGTCAATCATTGAAACACTCTGTGAATTGTTTTAACAAATAGCATGTTAAAGCTCAGCTTATGTTGGTACATGTTTACTTATAGAAATTGCCTGTTTCGTTCTTTGGGAGATCAGATTGATGGAGACCATACAAGTCATGCCCGTCACCGAAGAGAAACAGTTAAATATATGAGAGACCATAGAGATGATTTTGAACCATTTATGGAGGACAACATAACATTTGATCAACACTGTAAGTAGTGACATTTGAACCAAACCCTTTAGTGAGTATTAGGAAATTATGAAATTAAATTATGTTTAAAGGTACTTTAAATTATGAGTTGCCAACTTGCGTGTCTAGCAGTGCATCAAATTGAATAGCTATTAGTACAGGTAATCACATGATTTTGAGTGCAATTTTGAATAAATAAGCACAAGTAAATTTTTTCAAAAGCTAACAAAATTGCCCGAGCCCATAGGGCAAATGCAATTTGTGGTCTTTGAAAAATTTATGAGTGCTTATTTATTCCAAATTGCACAAGAAAAATCATGTGATTACTTATTAATAATGTTCATGAAAAAATTGCGAGATAGCTTTAAAATCTCTTTAATAGGGAGTCAACACGTGTAAACTATGTGCAAAAATAAATTATTTAAATGCTGCAAATATCGTCACACGTGCAGTCAAAACAACATTTTGCTCCATGTTTTTAAAGTTTGCAAGCTGCAGAAACGGGCTGAACAGTTCATGGAATTGTTCAATGTGTTTGAATTAAAGATTCTGGGTTATTACCTCAAGTTTTCCGCTCTTCCAGAGAAGTTCTTCTTCCTCCTCTGATACTTGCTGAGCTTTGTTTGGGCACTTACCACAGCCAGCCAAGCAAAGCTGTTTTGCTTTGTCCTCCAACACCTCTTTGGACAAACTAAATTCCCGGTCACGTTCTCGGTGCAGCCTTTGTTCTTTAAGTGTCTATCAAGCGATGCCATCATTACTTTAAGGCTTTCTGGTTCATAATCTTCACCCTTTTTATTGTTTACTTTGGCGTAGAAATGCTCGAGCAAAGTGTTAAGCTCAGCCCGCTCATAATTTTCTGTCATGAGTAATTTTTTATTTCCTTATCTACGCACCAAACAAAGAGCCAAAAACCAGTGCTTTTCACAATGTTTGCGTTTTTGGAGCAGTTTTTCTTCTCCTCTACAGTTGTTTTAGTTGCAAAACCAAATGTGCTGCAAACACCAACCATTGCGGTTTTTGCACGAAACTGGTCCGCAGCGGATCCAAATTTTGCGCCATTTAGATGGCGCATTTGATTGGGTCTTAGTGAGTTCCTTTGTTTATTAGCCAATCAGAATGTCACGTTTGTTACTCTTTCTGCACTCAATTACCTTTTTTCTGCACCGTGTTACCCAAAAACTGCATTCCTCTTAGCAAATCACAATTGAGAAACTTTTTCATGTATATTATTAAGATATAAAACATAAAATAAAAAAACAATAGTGTGTAAATGTACAAAACTTATTGTAAAAGTGGCTTACAGTCAAACCCTGCTTTACAGACACCTCATTATCACGGACAGTTTTCTTTGTCCCTGGGAAAAGCCCTTATATTTTCTCCAAATTCAACCTGCTTAATATGGACACCCGTTATGTAGAAAACGGTTTTGATTAAGTAATACGTAGATGATCGATTTTTGAGTGTTTCTATGGATTTTGTCTATGGAATGATGGCTTTGTGAGGGTTTAGAGATGTTTAATTTGGCAATGCTAATGTTCTTCATTCTTACTCAAGGATTATAAAAGGTGTTTGTTTTACTTTAATAACATGACTCACTTAATAAAGTTCTAAACCCAATAATACAGACACATTCTATAGCCCCTTCAGTGTCCCCATCAACAGGGTTTGACTGTACATTTCCAAGAAGAACAAGTTGCTATGGGAGCGTACACTTTGGCATCATGGTACAAGTGGATTAATTGTGAATGCGGAGGAATAGTAAGAAAATGATATTTTTCCGGATACCCTTCCATACAAATACCCTTACTTTTCTCCTTTTGTGTAACAGACATCTTAACTTCTTCACCGGAAGTCTGCTAGGTGCATAACCACGTGGCTGTAACCCATTATTTTTGATTATAATGTCTGTCATAAATAAATTGCACACGACGAGATCTCAGTTCCACTTCCTTTATCTCCTCCACAACAACACTTTCCTTAAACATGTACAGTTAACTTCACACCCTCTCCAGCAATGGAGCTTACTAACATCGGTACACTCCCTGACAAAACTTGCCGAGAATGCACAATCTCCACACTAGGTAAGGTAAGGTAATGTAGCACCTTTATTTAAAGAGGGTAAACACGAAAAACTGATAAACTTGTGGCCCACTATAAAACATAAAAACAAAATTGATATTAAAATAATTTTACACTGTCACTATAAAAAGATAAAAGTTAACATTAATAGACACAATTTAGAATTAGAATTTTTAACTATTTAAAAACTATTAACTGTCTAAAACAAGTTATTTTACGGACTTAATATTTAAAAGAATCATATTCAAAATTACCTGCCTCTTTTTGCTTAGCAATCAAATTTGTATACAATTTCCTTTTTAAAGATTTTACATTTTTTACCTTCTTTACGTCCATGGACAGTTCGCTCCAATTTCTAATAGTTCGCACACTAAAGGTAAAGCCTCCTTCTGTGTTTTGCTTAAAAACAGGACAATGAAAATTCAAATTTGCAAAACGAGTGGATCAGTTACGAATCTCAGAATTTGTCTTTAATATAGAATTAATATAATCTAGAGTTTTACCCTCTATTCTCTTATTGACGTAAAGGCTATAGAACATCTACTTATATATGCCTCCATAAAAAATGGAATCCAGTTAAGTTCATTAAACATACAATGTGGTAAATGTGCGTGTTGTTCTTTTGGCATCCAATATAATGCGTGCAGCTCAGCTCTTCTGCATCCGTAAGACTCTTTGTAGCAATTCTTTATTACATGATGACCAGATTGGACTCAGGTACAGCATAAATGACTTTTAGTCATAGAAAATTAACTTGTGTCTTTGCTTGAGATAAGGACTAATAAAATTATGCCTCAAAAGTCCAAGTCATTTTGACAGTTTCTTAGGTAATTCATCTATGTGTGCTTCAAAGCTAAGATCTTTATCAACG